TGTTGGCAGCCAGGTGCTGCAAACTGTAGTGCTTATCTGCTCAACATGTAACCATTTAAAAATAATTTGTTTGCATTCAGTATCTGACATAATGCAATAGTAAAAAGGCATCAGAAATGAGCTAGTAACCGTTGTTGCTACTGATCTGGTTATAAGTGGGTTTCCAACCACTGTCATATGAGAAGAATTAACAAGTTTATACTACAGTCTTTACTAGAGTTTTTAGCCCAAAAAGTTATTTCTAATGTAGAAAAAATTGACAAATATAGGTTGTAAGAAGGGTTGCCAAGAAAGGGTATTTTCATTACTCTAGTTGAGTGACTCTGTTTTGACTAATCATATGACACCAACTTTTAAAATTCTTGCCCAAAATGTACAGTGATTATCTAAAGTTTGAACCATGTTGCCATTCATGGATAGTCATTCTGGCTTAAGCATCTTGAGCTTCTTGGATTTGGATGAAAATGCTTCAAAATCTCATTGGGAAACTCATAAAAATTTTTGTCGTTTGATTTGTAGGTAATATCAGATTTTAAAATCTGTACATTAGTGATTTGTGCTGCAATATCCATTATGCTATAAAGAACAGTTGAAGAATTTAGACCTTGTGTGGTAGAGGGCTTTTGTACCATGACCCTTGATACATTAACATTTAAACTGTTAACTGAAAAACAATAACCCTTTTCACCTCTATAGAGGGAAAGCAATCTGCATTGAGTTAAATCCACCCCTACACAATCAATGTGTTTATTCAGCAGCTGCTCTGCATACTGTGGAGAAATATATCGTACCTTGATCATAACTGCATGTCTGAGAATTTGGCTGCAGGCAGACTTAAAAAATGCACACAGACACAAACACACACACAGGGTTATCTCACAATACAGTTACACACATGTGGTCAGAGCTGTTTTAGTATTTGTACATTACTCAGCAGTTTTTTTAATTACCTAAATTAGGCCAGGGTTTTGCCTGAAGGAAGGCAATGGGAGGGAGGCGGCTGAGCTCTGTGTTCTGGGTCCATCGCACACAAGAAGGCCACTGATACACATGCAGACAAGAGCACACGCACTACCTCTCAAAGGTGGCTGGGACACACACTCAGACTTGCCTTTAATAGGGCCATTTATGAGTTTCAAATCAAATTGCCCTCTAACCTGATGTCAGGACACACACTCACACTCATATGCACACACTCTCACACACGTTGTGGACCTCTCCTTTCTCCTTTATTTCCCCTGTCACTGCTGATGGTCTCACATTTAGAGAGCTGTCTACTACCCGGGTGGTGCCATGGCTCTAAAGCTCAAGGGTAATTGGAAATATTTCACACATTACCCTCCACTACTCAAACACACACAAATTCTTATCTGTCACATCTGACTCCTTGGTGATCGGAGTCTGATCATAAGAGCGCTTGTGTGGCCAAAATGGTGCCCAGTGTGCAGCCACTGAGATTAAAGATAAACACGATGACTCCATTTCAATTTCCTATCTTCTTTGTCTATATTGAGATTTTTCTGAGATCTTCCAGGTTTCAGTTCTATCGCTGTCAATCTTATATTGGGTCTCTCTTATTATATGTACTCTGTATTGACAAGTCAAGCCTTTATCAGACATAGAACAGAATTAGACAGTAGCTACGGGTGGACAAATGGACAGATGAGGAAATGATTGTCTGCATTTAACAGGTTATAACTGGGAGTTGGAACCGTAAATTCTGATAATGTACAATTAGTTGGGGTTGCATCCAAAATACTAAATAGGTGTAACTATACTTTAAGCTGTTATGAGATATTTAGTTAGAACAGATTAAGAGAAAATAATCCTTTTAATTTGTTTTTCTTGTTCATTAGAGATTTTATAAATAATGGTGTGCTTTAGGGGATATTTAATCAGTGTTGTTTGGAGATTCCCATTTATTGCTGTTTTAAAGCAAGACTATATCCTAATATTATCCCAAGGTCGAAGTGGCTGCAAAATTACCTACAGAAGAGAAAAATCTGACCATTATGACCTGCCCTTTTGGAAAGGGGATGCTAAAACAGCGTCTTCCTCAATGAATATTATAAATGGTCATGAAATCATACCCTGCAGGTGTGTAAAAGGAAAATATGTAAAATGTCAGCCTGAGTTTTTCCGTTTGCTGTTTTAGTTTATGATGTAAAGAGTGGTTGTAAAACTTCCTTCTAAATCATCTAATGGAAGCATTCAGAACACTGACGAACAAGATGCACACAATATTAGTGTTGAGGGGAAACTGGCTAAACAATATCCGCTAACAAAATTTAGCATCTACTTTTGCAGCTCTGCATCTGTAGTTTCTAAATTATCATGCAAACATTACTTGTCAAGAAAATTTGTCATTGTTTAACATTGAAAAAACCCTTTTAAAAGATTAAATCACTAAGAACTTTAGTAGGATAATATATTTTCTGTTGCATGCATTCAGATTCTTTATCCCAATAATACATTTGGTCCATGGACATTTATTGCTTGATAGGTCCACACTAGATGTAAATGAACCAAATGAATTTCCTCATATTGTTATGAATGTAAGGATATTAAAAAGCTTTTTTTGTTTGTTTTGTTGCAATATTCAGCAATAGGATTGCAGTTACAGGTTTCCTAAAATCCCACAGTCCTTATTCTGTTCATTTTCTGAACCCTCTATTGCTGTGTCTATATTAGTGACATATATTAGTGTTATAGATTTTGAACTTTAAATTGAGGTGCCACTAATCGGAAATAGTTTTTGTCTTTGAATTAAAGGCTTTAGAGTTAATTCAATGCTTACAGTAAGTAGCCTTATGGAATCATCATGGGGTCAACATCCAGCTGGGGGATAGTTTGAATTTAATTTCTGGTCCTAAGGTGTCTAGGGTGTCTCCAAGCCCGCTAGATGTCAGTCAGCCTCAGCTATTCTTCCTAACAAAGTTGATGTCTAAATAGATTAGATAATTACTTTGTTTTCTCCTATTTGCTGGTATTGTCATACAGAATTAAATGTTTTAAAGTTAAATTGGCTGTGCTCAGTTGCAGAGTTCTGCAACACCATACCCTGCTTTCTTCCTAAATCAGAGTTATATTTAGCTGCGTGTAGCAGTGAAAGGAATTCATAACAAATGTGTTATGTTTTCCAGAATCAGCAGATGTGTTTTGAAATGACAAAGCACCAGAATCTCTGACAGCTTTTACTGCTGATGTTTCAGTTCAGCTCATATTTTGAACATCATTAGTTCTGTTTTTTGGAGCGTTTGTTTCTACATTTGTTCCTCTAACATTTTAACTCCTTCATCTCCTTCCTTCAATCTGTTCGCTTCCTTTAAACATCTTAATTGCTGTTGTCTTATTAGTCTTGAATGCTTTTTTAAAATATAAGTTCAACAGTTTCCACATTTCCCTCCTGTGTTGGAAAACATCCCTCATTGTCTGAGAAATTACTCTTGCTCACATGTCCTTTAAAAAAGAAAGTGTCTTTATATATTTTGCAAAATTTCTACCAAATTGAACTGCAGTGTTTGTGATGATGCTCTTATTTTAGCTTCCGATGTATCGTCTAAATAAAGTGCACCACTTTTGGAGGTTCTTATACCTAACTATAGAAGTGCTAAACCATTTCAAGTGCTTGCTCAACATCTGGTCTTTTAGTTTGCATCATTCAAAAGCAGCTAAAAGGCACCTTGGGTTCTACATGTAATTGAAATGCTGTTAAAAATCCTCTTAGAAATGGCTACAACATTGTGTTCAAAGCTACTATTTACAGCTGAATCTACTGACATTGTTTCTCACTCTGTTGATAACACTAGGTATTGTTTTCAAATGTGTTTATAAATCAAGCAGGTAATAAAAAAATCCAAACTGATTGTATATGGGCAGAAATACTTTACAAGTGCTTGATTATCCCCACTTACTACTTTTTCTCACCATCTCTAATCACTCACTTGAGCTCTTGTGTTATTTCAGCTGCAATTATTTGCTTTGCCCAAAGGAAAGAGCTGCTTTTGATGGAAGATGGGCAGGGTCAAAGAAATAGAAATGTGAGCACCGCTTTTAAAATCTTTTTTACTTTTAATCCTCTTAAGGCAGAACTTTCATTTCTCACAAAAAGGGTCTGTGCTTTCTGTAATTATCATTGCCCATTGTGCAGTCAAAATAGAAAAATATATTTTTTAATCCAAGCAAGAAACTGATCCAGAGTTTTGATCGTATCTTGGACAGAGTTAAAACCACTTTCATCAAACATTGCGCTGCAAAAATGAATTAAAAATAAGGAGAAATGTTTTTAAATGCATGCATTTCCCCTTAATTTGAGTAGTTAAATAACATTTGCCAATGGAATTAGTATTTTTACTCTTAAAATTAGATAATTAGAATTTAAAATAAGACAATGCAATTGTTTTTTTCCTTTAAATGTAAATTGTCTTATTCCACTGGCAAAGTGTCTCAATTGCCTCCTCAATTCAAGAACAAATTCCCCTTTTTTTTTTCTCTAAGAAAAGTGACTTGTTTTGATGTACATTGTTTGCAATGTGGAGGTCTATAGAGAGCACCATCTTTAAGACATTCCAAATTCAGTGACCTTTTTAGCAAGTGTTGCATTTGGCAAAAAAGCACTCAAAACCCTTAAACCGCTATATTTTCCCTGCTTTTTTATGATTGCCTGATATGTTGTGGGGAAATAAAATGCACAAAGCTGCGGTCAGATTTGCTTTTTACATCTTAATTTAGTAATATGGTCTTTAACTTCATAAACAGTCTTAACATTGCAAGAATATGAAAAGATACGGTTTTAAAATGGCATTTCTGAATAATAAACTATTATAATACTATGATTATTTAAAAAGTGGAAAGATTAGATATTTGGCTCAGGAAGAGGCTTGTTCTCTGTTTTATTTATGTCTGACCAGTTAAGAGCAACCTTAATCACCTGCAGCACTTCAGAATGGTGGTAATTTCAGTTGGCTAAATATGAGCTAACAAAACCACACAGCCAGATGTACCATTATATACAGTTTTATATTACAGTCAACATTTTATATAAAAGTAGATATCTACCGTCACACAAACACACCACAGAACTTACTTTGTGTTAATGAGTCAGCTTTTCTTTTTTCCATACATGTAATTTTTATTTATATCAAGTTCAGAGAACAATATTGACTTTGGCAAAATGAAATGACAAAAAAAGATTGAAAGCAAACATTATAAATCTAATTGGCTCTGTTTTATAGGCATTTGTTTGAGTCAAAGTACTGGGATGTACGCTTTTACCTGTGTTTTTTAGTGTGCTTCTCGTCCTTTTTGAGCTTAATCATTTGTCATTTTATAAAGGAACCAAAAAAAAATGACACTTGTAATTCTGCTCCTAACATCATTCCTCAGAATAACAGAAACACATGGTGCAACAATGAACATTTTTATATATATATATATACCATATATATATATATGTATTTTTAATTTTTTTTTGTTTTTGAAAGCATTTGAGTCTGTAGAGTGAGTCTTGGAGTGAACGTTGGTGATTCTGTAAATATTTTTCTGCCTCTGACATTCATCAGTTTAGTTTCAACCTTTGACCCCGTGTGGCACAAATAAGTCTTTAAGTCACACAAAATGAGTTTTAAAATGATTTTTTTTTTCCCCCATGGGTTTGTGCTCTGACGATGCTACAGTGCTGAAAGTAGCCATTTGAACTTTGAATGTTGCACTTCAGTTTGGATAGACCCTCTTATAATTGTGCAAATGCCTGCTTTCCACAGCATGCCCAGAAAGCACTAAACGATTTTTTTCTCTTTTTACAAACTGATGGTGTGTTCCTGGATTGACCCTGTCTACAAATACACATCCAGTCTGTTTCATCACTGCACCCACACTTATGCACCCATTACCATCATTCCTCTGTTTCCATTATCCGACATACAGCATGTTCTTGTCTTTCAGAAATGGGCACTCACATGTTCCATCATGCCCTCATCTCTTCCATTTTGTAATCCATATTGACTTGATTGTGATCCCAATATTTTTCTTTTAACTGCTCCCTCCGCCTTTTTTTCCCACCCTCATATCTATTGATCATGTCCATTGCACGGAGCTCTGTATTTATACTCCCATAATCCACAGGGGCAGCCAGCCAAGAATTCTGACCCGTACATGAGTGGAGGACGCATCATTCAAATTCATTGCTTTCTCTTTTTCTTTCTTTCTTTTTGTGGTGGAAAAGGCATCTCAGAAAGCTGGTCAGTGTAAGAAGTGAAAGCCAAAACGGCAGGATACGCTCCAGATGTTTTGGGGTCAAAAAGGTTTTCTATGGTATCCCCAGCAGTCGTATTGTTTTGAATCCAGTTTAATCCACATGTGGCTTGTGGAGTTGGTGGGTGGGTGTATGGACTCTGGAGAACTTGGTGGTTGGTGAAGCTGTCGCTTTTCACACTATCTGGCTCAATCAAACCTTTATCTGATCCTATTTATGATTTGATTTCTTTTTTTTTTTTTACTACAAATACACTTTTGTCCCCTTTTTTGTAGAGTTTTGATGAACTCCCTTCAATTTTTTTAAAAGTATTTAATTAAAACTTGTCCTTCCCATCTTCTATGTAATTTCCTGGACTTCTTGCTGGGCAATTAAATTGGCTGTGACTCAGTTGGACTCCTCTCCCTCATTTTGATCCCACCTGCCTGCTCTTATACCTTATTTTCTGCTCCCATAATTTCACCTCTAATCACCCTCCTGAATCACCATCCTATTTGGAAATCTTTATCCATCTTTGCCTCATTCCTGTTCTGCTGTAACCGGACTATACCACACTTTCTTCCAGGTCGTCACCACCCTTCCCCTTCTCCTTGCTCCTCTCTTTTGATTTCCCTCCATTTGTTCCACTGTTTGAGTTTGAGTTAGTGGTGTTATAAGCGTGGATGTATCCCCGTTTAAAATCGGGACCCCCAAAGCCCCCTCCACTCTCGCCCTCGTCGCTGGTTGTAGATGAGGTGGTGCTCGTCGTGGAGGCGCACTGCACCAGCATCCCGTGCAGGGACTGACTGCGTCTGGTCCAGATCACGCTCAGCCTCTTGGCACAGCTCACAGCGCCATAGCGTCTGGCAACAGTTGCCGCTGCATCGGTTGCTAAGGCAACAGAGGAGCCCATGTCAAGAGAGTGTCGGCGCTTGCCAACAGTCCCGCCGGCGGGGCTAAGAGGGGACAGGGGGCTCTGATAAGCCTGTGAGGAGTTCCATTTGTCCCTGCCTCTGGGTGTGATTCTCCAGTCCAACAACTCAGAGTCTCTCAGGGGGGCAGCCAGAGAGAAGCTGGCCCGATTTGTCAGTTCTCTCTCCAGACGGGGATTGGGGCGGTCCCTGGAACGAGACTGCCGGGGCAGTGTGGATGAAGGAGAGGGGGAGTAGTAGAGGGGAGTTCTGTCACTCTCTAAATTTTGCTGCAGCACCTTCCTCTGTCTCACCACCAGCGCCATCTCACTTCCTGCCCCTGTAGTGGTGGAAACCACCCCTCCAGCCGACAGAAACTGCTCCAGATTGACTCTCGGCTTTGGCCGGGGCTTCGGGGGCAGTTTTGGAGGCAAGGGGGAGGCAGAATCAGCTCCTTCTTTCTCCTTTTCCTTTTCTTTCTCTGCCTCGCCATCTCTCTTAGACGGCAGACCATTGGGTAGGACCACCATCATCACGTCTCCAGAGCCATTGGATTGAAAACATCCACCCCCATTTCCCCCTTTATCTCCACATCCAACCCCCCCGCCCTGGCAGCAGGCCACAACTCCAGCCTCAGTGTTGCCGTTGTGACAGAATGCGTGGTCATCATGGTTGCAAACCCGATGCCGGACCATGAGCGCCACTGTAAACACGAGTAGGGTCACCACAACGACGCCTCCAACCAGGATGGTGAGCGTCCCACCCAGGAAGTGGGCTTGGAGTGAGCGGCACGCCGGGTACACATCCTTGGTAGAAAACGAGGTGCATCCAAGTACTTTCGTTGCAGCCAACGAGGTGATTGTGTCGTCAAAAATGGCCAGCACACACAGGTTGTAATCCACCCCAGAAACCAGGTTCTTCAGCAGGAAGCGGTCGCTAGTTGATGGGATGATTCTAGGGAGAGAGTTCAGAAAGAAAGGTTATACTTTTAGTATGAGCAGAGATGAGAGTTAGAATATAAAATACATTGACTAACTTGTACTGTGACCCAATTATTCATGCTGTCGTTACTGCGCAAAAGGTTGGAAAAAATCTGGATATTGAAGGAACAGAGTTAATGTCTTTAAAGAACGGGTGGAGTTTTTAAGCAGAAAACAGGAAATTAATCTTTTGTGGCAAATGCATGAGGGTAATTTAAAAAAACTAATTTGAAGGGTAGGTGGCTTCTATAGCAGTTGGCAATCCTTTTTAATCAGAATCTTAAATATTAAGGCAAATCTTTGAGCTGCGCTGTCCAGGTAGTTTTTTTGTTTGTTTTAATTTAGATATTTAAGCATTAATAATAGAGACCATGTTTCTAAGGTAATATGTTAAATGCAAGTAAATGCAAGTTTAATATAGTATAAAGAAAAATTAGCCTAGAAAAAAAAACTACACAGGATTGATGTACACAAAGCAGGTTCACATTTTACAGTCAGATCCATGACTGTACAAGGGGAGTGTTCAGGGGGAGTGTGCCTAGTGGTTAGTGCATACAGCTTGGAATTCTGAGGTTCTGAGTTAAAGTCCCACTCCCACAGACTGCCACTCTGGCTCTCTAAGCAAGACCCTTAACCCCACACTGCTCCCAGAGTGCCCCACATAGGGTTGGTCGGTGGGTGCAGATGTTAAATACCTCTGCAAAAAATGTGAGATCAATAAAGTTAAATTATAAACCACTAAATTGATCTGAAATGTAACTTTGTTTTTGATGTCCATACCAAATGAATGGTAACCTTCTTTAATGGTATTGTAACTAGTGCTAATAGAGTAGAGATGTGTACCACCATTTTTCCCCTCTCTGCATTTAAAATTAGAAACTTTCTGTTAATAACAGTAACATCCACAAAGAAAGTAAACTATGATTTTTGATGATTTTTGTCTGCATGAGTACATGTTTATGGTGGGCTTTAGAGAAAGAAGTGTTTTGACCCTGTGCTGATTTTAAGTGCTGAAGTTAACAAGTGTAGGAGAGGTGAACTGAATGGATGGAGAGCAGAGTTTACATAATTTGCATTTTGCTTGGTTTTTGTATTTTAAAAAGCAAACAGGTGAAATATATTTGGGGTTTTTGTTGAATGTGTGGGAGACTGTAGCCCACCTCAAGTGTTGGTGCCAGATGATGTTTGTCCTCTGCAGCTTTAGCCCTCTTGTGTAGGGAAAAATAGTTTTTCTCCTCTGCTGTTTTCTCTTTTTCTTGGTTTTCTCCATCCACATATCTTATTTAAATTATTGCATTTCTAACCATTTAGTGTGTCCTCAGACTTTACTTTGTTCAGTAAATGCCATCTAGGATGACTCAGCCACACAGGGAGCTTCTCCTTTAATGCCCCAGCCTTATTCTGTTTAAAATGCATTCAAAATAAAGACGGAGGACGGCAGCAGATTTCCTCTGCTTTTAAATGGGGTGTAATTACAGTCATGTAATCAGGTTTTACAAATGAAACCAGTCTGATTGACGCTTCTCATACATATTTATGTTAGTGTTGATGGGATGATGGGATTAGATGTTTAATAATGCAGTGTGGCTGGGAAATCAGAGGCTCCTACTTTCAGGCATGCTGCAGGGCAGATGCTTGGATTTTAAGCTATGGAGCCAATATTGATCTATCCTAAGGCTTAAAATCTAAAAAGCCAGTGGAAACCATCACAAAGGTAGACCTCCCATCGAAAGGTTTGTTTTCCAAAGAAAAGAGTTGATTTATTATACTAGCTGTGAAATGATCTTTACCCGAATTCAGATGAGACTGAATGATGGGGGGGGGGGGAAAGAAAAACTGAGAAAAATTTTATTTTACAAGTTGGTTCATAAGCCATTGCCCAGTAGGGAAAGTCTCTCCCCTTCTCTTAGACAAGGGTCAAAAACTTTAGATGTCTCTGGGCAAAAACCATCTGAAGCAAACTGAATTACCTCAGTTATGCTGCTCCTTGTGGATATGACTTTCGAGACCTGTGGTCTAAATTAAAAGAAAAACCTCCTATAGAAGTATCTGCTGTAAATTTACAGTAAAACTTTTAATTTGTACTTTAAAAAAAACTTAAGAAAAAAAAAGGAAGAACTAAAAGCTCATTATTAGGTCCAGCTATATGGTTTCAGTCCCTCTACACAAGAGCTTTAAGTCTACAAATTACCCAAAAGATCAGATTTTTATCACTTAAAATTTACCTGACAATTCATTCTTTTGGATCAGAGCAGGTATTTAAAACCAACCGTAAAATCAACACTGTTCATTAGAAAAGATATTTGTTTTCAAACAATAAATGACATGACGAGTTTGTCAAAACAGGACTGGTAAAAGTGGAGCTTGTTCCATTTCCATTAATTAGTTCCCTCAACTCTGTCCGTGCACTAAGACCTTTTGTTCTTTAATTTGTTTGGCAGCTCTGTGGAATGATCGACACCAATTATTCTAGGAAGCGTAAAGCATCAGAGGAGTTACTAATATTAGCATCAGAAGTGGAACATGCAGTCGGATGCGTTATTTGAATTTTTCAAGCCATGGATGTATTGTCTAATGTGTCATGCTTGGAAAAACCCAGACTCTGGGGCAATCAGATGCTCTATAGGATAGTTTCTCCTGTAAAGCCCAGTTGTTCAGGGTTGGTGCTCAATCAGTTTTCCAGCATGGAGTATACAAGGGTCAGAACTGAGGGCTCTTAGGAGAAAACCTACTGTAGAAATGTATCCAGAATCTTTGTGGCTGTAACCAAGTCACAAAACTTTTTTTCTCATCACTGACAGGCTTTTAGCGTAAAGTGGCGCCATTTTAGTCTTTACTTACAAATAGGTTTGGTTATCTTCCAGTTGTGAACTGCCAATTTTGGCTTTGACTGATTCTGATTTTTCTCTTCACAGGATATAACATTGACCAAAAAAAAAGGATGCTACATATTCTTTGAAAGGGCTTTTAGTTAGAATCCAGCCAAACTGAAGGGAAAGCAACATTATCTTTGTTTATCTCCAACTTTCAGCAAAGACTGCTTACAGGTATTTTTCAATAAAACACGAGTTCAGTATTTTCAGCAGACAGCAGGAAGGCTGATTGACAAGAAAATGGTCTCTTATACTTTAAGGTTGTATAAAATATTTTGTGGTCTGTAGAGTGTTGTATTGAAATTGATCAATGGAAAACAGCCACAAGCGTCACTTTTTTATGCATCTAAAATCCTGTTGTATTAACTGGATAATTTTTTTTTTTTTTTTTTTTTTACATGGCTCCCCATGGTCATAGGTCTTTCCCCTCAAAAGCTAACTCTTCCCATTGATCCAGTCAGAACAATAATTAATCGGTTTAAAAATGCTTGAGATGACTATCAGCATGAGAAGTGGCAATGTACTGTTATTTGTCATTGCCATTATTGTCACCTATTAATCCAAAGGGCATTTGTGCTGTAAATACTATATATAGTATTTATATATGTATCTATCTCCTTTATCTTTCCCCCAAATCTTTCTTTACAATCTAGACAGACTGCGTTTCTGCTGGTTTTAAAAGCTCACTGGGCTCTCCCTGACCTGCAAGCTTCTCTTCATTTTAGTCACTGTGGTATATCTCTATTAGCCTCAGCAGCAGCCATGTAGTGATTCAGCATCCAAGGTCATTTAGGCTCAGTTTTCCCTCGACTCTTCGGTATCATTTCCTCCAAGTCTCTCCACTCCTCCCTTATCTCTTTATCTTTTCACCTTTTCTTCTGTTAATCCTTTATCGTCACCATATTTTACTTCTCCACACCAACCCTTTTTCCTTTATTTTTGATGTTGTGAATCACCTCTTGATTATTTTTTTTTGCATGTTGACTGGCAACACTAAATGTAAGGATATTCATTGAAAAATACACAAAAGGCACCCCTGTTTGCTACCGATTTGTTTTTCTGCAACAGCGTTATGTTCATACACGTACTAGTCAAACAAAATGATACTCATCTAAAATCTGAGTGCTCTTCGTGATAATGTCGCCTTTTGTGATGAGCTGCTGGTTGGAAATCAAATTCAACAATTTATTTGAATGTTTTTTTTTTATGTTTGTAGCTTCATTTGCAGCCTTTATTGTTCTCTGGCTCTTAACCTCCAAGAAAGTGCAGATGCTGTGCTTTAAATTGCTGTTTGGTTAAATGTAGCCAAAAATAAGCATGCACATGGAAAAACTGATTCTGTTGTTTATAGTGACTCTAGAATGAGCTGTTATCTAAATCCAGGAGGGTAAGCGAGTTATAGTAAAGGAAAATAATGGGTCAGTTTTGGCTCATCTTTCTACTCAATTATTATTTTCACCATTGGAGCAGAGTCTAGTGGTCTAACACCTGACAGGATTGGGCCACAGAGGAGAGGGGAGAGAGATCAACTCAAGAAGGAACAACAAGGCAATTATCTCCTCGTCTGCCTGACATCTATACTGCTCCCGTTTCCTTTCCTTCATGTCACTTCCTCTGTCAGTTTACCCTTTCCTCTCTTCCAGGGTCTGTATTTGTGGAACTATTAAATGTTTCATTGGCTGTCTTCCTTAATTTAGCCTTCAGAGATCCTTTGTTTTCCTTAATCTATCCAAACGTCAGTCTTTTTGCTTCATTTTTGTCGTTTCCCCTCCTGTTTGGTTCCTGTTTTCCCAATTCAAATTAGGCACCAGTTTTTTTTGCCTGTCATTGTTTTGCAGTTTCCCTTGAAAACCCTGTAGGTTTTTGGAGGGTTGCCAACTTGTTATCCAAATAATTGAGGTTCGAAACAATGCTTTCTATGGCAGAAATTTTCCTTCCAACCATGCATCAATTTAAGCCAATTTGTGGAATATTTCATACATGCTTTAATTAGAAACTTAACAGAAATTGATCTGTTATTAAAAAAAAAATGCAGCCTTGTAATTTAAAGTTGTTTGGTTTGATTCGGTCTTGCATTTTGTTCTGTTTTTTAAGCTTGAAA